TTTTTTTTTTTTTTTTTTTTTTGAGATGGTGTTTTGCTGTGTCACCAGGCTGGAGTGCAGTGGGGTGATCTCAGCTCACTGCAACCTCTGCCTCCCAAGTTCAAACGATTCCTCTGCCTCAGCCTCCCAAGTAGCTGGGACTACAGGCAAGCACCACCATGCCTGGCCACTTTTTGTATTTTAGTAGAGATGGGGTTTCACCATGTTGGCCAGGATGGTCTCGATCTCCTGACCTCGTGATCCTCCCACCTAAGCCTCCCAAAGTGCTGGGATTAAAAGCGTGAGCCACCGCACCCAGCCCTTTCAACTTTTCTGTAGGTTTGAAATGTTTATTGTAAATCTCTGGGGGAAGCCCAGGCACAGTGGCTCACACCTGTAATCCCAGCACTTTGGAAGGCTGAGGCAGGTGGATCACTTGAGGTCAGGAGTTCAAGACCAGCCTGGCCAACATGGTGAAACCCCGTCTCTACTAAAAATACAAAACAATTAGCCGAGTATGGTGGCGCGCGTCTGTAATCCCAGCTACTCAGGAGGCTGAGGCATGAGAATTGCTTGAACCCACAAGGTGGAGGTTGCAGTGAGTTGAGATCACGCCACTGCACTCTAGGCTGGGTGACAGAGAGAGACTCCATCTCAAAATAAAATGTTGGGAGAAATAATCCAGATTCCTCCCTGTGGCCCGCACACCTTGCATGCCCTGTGCTGTCCCTCATCACCTCCCTGGCCTCCCCTCCTCCCTCTCTCCCCCTTGCTCACTCTGCACCAGCCACAGGAGCATCTTTACTGTTCCTCCAACACATCAGGCATGGTCCTGCCTCAGGGCCTTTGCACTAGCTGTGTATTTATCTAGAAAGCCTCTCCCCCAGCCCCACCTCCTTGTGTGCAAACCAGCAACTGTCTCGTCTTTTTTGTTTTTCCCAAAAATGGGGTCTTGCTCTGTCCCCCAGGCTGGAGTGCAGTGGTGTGATCACAGCTCCCTGCAGCCTCAAACTCCTGGGCTCAAGCCATCCTCTCACCTCAGCCTCCTGAGTAGCTAGAACTACAGATAAATGCCACCACATCTGACTACTTTTTAAATTTTGTTTAGAGACATGGTCTTGCTATGTTGCCCAAGCTAGTTTTGAACTCCTGGGCTCAAGCGACCCACCTGCCTCAGCCTCTTAAAGTGTTGGGATTACAGGTGTGAGCAACTGCACCTGACCCAACCTCATCTTTTTTGTTTTGTTTTGTTTTTCAGACGGAGTCTCACTCTGTTTCCCAGTCTGGAGTGTAGTGGCACAATCTCAACTCACTGCAACCTCTGCCTCCCAGGTTCAAGTGATTCTCCTGCCTCAGCCTCCCAAGTAGCTGGGGTTACAGGTGCATGCAACCACACCCCACTAATTATACTTTAGTAGAGAAGGGGTTTCATCATGTTGGCCAGGCTGGTTTTGAACTCCTAATCTGAGGTGATCCACCTGCCTTGGCCTCCCAAAGTGCTGGGATTACAGGTGTGAACCACTGTGCCTGGCCTGACCTCCTCACCTTTAAGTCCCAGCTCAGATAGCACTCCTTAGAGAGCCTCTCTTTGATCACATTTAAAATCATGCCACTCTGTTTTCTACCTGGCCCCGTTACATTTCAGTATCTCATTCATGTATGAATCTGTTTACCTGTTTCTTGGCTGCCCTCTCTATTGGTCTACAAGGTGGACAGGAATGTGTTGGCTTTTTTCCCCTGCTGTGGCACCAAGGCCCAGTCCTGACCTGGCATATACAAGTCAATTGCAGAACATCTCTTTGCCTGGATGGATAGATAGACAGACAGACGGATGGTTGCAAGGATAGATGGATAAATGGATGGATGGAAGGGAAAATGGACAGAAGCGTAGCTGGAAGAATAGATGGATAGAAAGATGGGTGGGTGGAAGGACACATGGGTGAATGATGGGTGAACAGGTGCATGGATGATGGGTGGATGGATGAATGGGTAGGTGGATAGTTGATGGCTAGATGGACAGATGTTTGGATGGGTGGACAGATAGATGGATGGATGATGGGTAGATGGACAGATTTTTGGATGGATGACGGGTGGGTGGAGAGATGTTTGGGTGGGTGGACAGATGGATAAATGGGTAGGTGGATGGATGATGGGTAAATGGATACGTGGGTGGGCAGATAGATGGATGATGGATGGAAGATGGGTGGATGGATGAATGGGTGGGTGGATAGGTGGATGATAGATGGGTGGATGATGGATGATGGGTTGATGGATGAATGGGTGCGTGGATGATGGATGATGGGTGGATGGATAATGGGTAGGCAGACAGATGTTTGGATGAGTAGAGAGAGGGATGGATGATGGGTAGATAGACAGACAGGGGGACAGGTGGACAGAGGAATGAGTGAATGAACAAATTTTCTGAGTGGGAACCACTGTGGTAGGCCAGACTCTTGGCTTAAGATCTCAGGAAAGGGAGCAGCTCTTTGGGCTCCACAAACAGGCTGGGACATGCTAGCTGGAGCTGCCCCACTTTGACTGCCGCTCTGTTATCCAGCAAGCTCAGTCGTGCGATAGGCTCTCTTACCCACCCGCTTCATGGGCTCCGGGATAGTGAGCGAGACCCCTGAAATTCCCACTTAGAGGAGAGTCCACCTTCCAAAGGATGGCCAGGAAAGGAACTCTGGATTCCTTTTTTGAGATGGAGTCTAGCTGTGTCGCCCAGACTGGAGTGCAATGGAACCATCTCGACTCACTGCAACCTCTGCCTCTGGGGTCAAGCAATTCTCTGCCTCAGCCTCCCAAGTAGCTGGGATTAAAGGCGCCTGCCACCATTCCTGGCTAATTTTTGTATTTTTAGTAGACATGCAGTTTCACCGTCTTGGCCAGGCTGGTCTTGAACTCCTGACCTCGTGATCTACCTGCCTCAGCCTCCCAAAGTGCTGGGATTATAGGCGTGAGCCACCGCACCTGGCCAAGACTCAAGTTCTTGACCCCACGCAGCCACTCCCCTGACTTCTGGCTACCATCTTGGCATCAGTTAAGTGCAGAACAGTAACTATTGTGTTGGGCTGTGTTGTTATTACTCTTGTTAAGGATCAGTGGGCCAAGCACTTTAAGTTGAGAAGCCTGGGTATTACTGTCTCTGTTTCACAGATGAACTGGAGGTTCAGAGAGGTCGAGTCATTTGCCTAAAGACACACACTTCAACTCTGCCTCTAACACTGACCAGGCAGTTGGGGGCAGGGGATGAGAATGGAGTGGTGGCTAAGGCCTCTCTCTTCTGGGGCCAGAGGACAGTTCCAAAGTCCCAGGCAAGGGGAGTTCCATCTTCCAGTCCTGCCTCCTGGTTGTCAGCTGTGCTGATAGGGGCCCAAGTAGGAGTTCTGAGGCTCCGGCCTCTCAGGCCCACTTGCCCCACCCATTCTGCTTGCAGAGCTCCCAGCTAACGGGAACCTGTGTCCACAGAATGCTGTCCAGTTTCAACGAGTGGCTTTGGCAGGACAGGTTCTGGTTACCGCCCAACATCACATGGACACAGCTGGAAGACCGGGATGGCCGTGTCTACCCTCATCCCCAGGACATGCTGGCAGCCCTGCCCCTGGCGCTGGTCCTCCTGGCCATGCGCCTCACCTTTGAGAGGTGAGTGACCCATCACCCCCGCGGCCACTCCAGCATGTGCTCCTGCCCCCGCGTGCAATTTGCCATTGCAGCACGTCCCCAGTGGAAGCTGGCTTTTCACCAAAGCGCTTTCCCTGGCTCCACCCTACCCCCAGCCGCCTCCATCCACACTTCTGGCCTCTGATTGCTGGTTTATCAGAACATTGGCCACAGATTGGGGCTGGGTGTGCCAGTATCTTCATAAAACAGGGATGGGAGGCCGGGCACGGTGGCTCACACCTGTAATCCCAGCACTTTGGGAGGCTGATGCAGGCAGATCACTTGAGGTCAGGAGTTCAAGACCAGCCTAGCCAATATGGTGAAACGCTGTCTCTCCTAAAAATACAAAAATTAGCTAGGGATACACCCGTAATCCCAGCTACTCAGGAGGCTGA